AGAAACCTTACGACCAGACCACCATCAGTTTGCAAATGGGCACCAATAAAGGAGCCAGCCAGGTATTCCCAAAGATTGACTCATACCAACAAGATAGCACACAAATAGGTCAAGTCGAAACTCGAAAATGACATGTTTTTCTTGTCTATCTCTCTCCAGGCTGGTATGTCCGCCCCAGGCACCAGGAGGGACATCTATGACCAGAAGGCAGCTCTGCAACCAGTTGACAACTCCACTATCTCATTGCAAATGGGAACCAATAAGGTGGCCTCTCAGAAGGGCATGAGCGTGTATGGGTTGGGACGGCAGGTTTACGACCCCAAGTATTGCGCCACCCCAACGGAGCCCATGATCCACGCCAATGGCAGCCAAGGCACAGGCACGAATGGCTCAGAAATCAGCGATAGTGACTATCAGGCTGAATATCAGGAGGAGGAGTTCCAGGGCGATTACCACGACGAGTACAGAGGGCACTACAATGACCAGGGTATCGACTACTAGAGAACTCTGCTGCGCTGTTAGTCAAAGCAGTATTAACACCAACCATGTATATCAACAGAGCAAGTTTTTTTTTTTTTGCAATTCCTTTTGCTTCTCACAGTTACCCTTCCCCTCCCAGCGCATGTGTTTGGGTAAAATGATCGTGAGTGGTGAGATATAATCTACAATCTGCCATCCTAGAGGTGCGGTCACATTTACCGTAGCTCAAGTGAAATTTTGCGGGTGAAATCCAGTCATTCCAATTGGAGTCCTCTTGAGGTTTGCTTGAGGGCAAAAAAGGTCCCCCATGCAAATTTCACTCGTGCTTAAGCTGCTTGGTTTGAAAATGAGTTCTGTTTACGCGGTGCTTTATACATCGCTACGCTATTGACAAGAGACAATGGACCTTTTTTTGCCTGCAAAATTTCCCTGACATATCGCTAATGTGACCACATTAACAATGGCGAAACTGATCTTTTATCAAGTGTTTTTTATGAAGTATGGAGAACTCTAAAGAGAATTACCTAGTTTTTGCAGTATGATTCTTTGTTTTATGCCCTATGCCTTGTCTTTTGAGTTTTATTTTGGCCTTGCATCACAGAACCACCATTGAAATCCCGCTCTCACAGACTGCTATGGACCGAAGACATTCCTTCTTTAGTCATTCCATTGAATTGCCTGGAAATTTTACAAGCTACAAATGTTAGCATTTTAAAGATTAGCTGACTGGACGACCAAAAACTTTTCACTATTGCTTAGTTTTTTTTTGTGCCATGATTTTGGAAAAAAAAAAAATCTTTCCCATTGTATTTATTGCCCTGCTTTTCATTATAAACCTTCTGTTATATGGTTCTTTTATGAATAAATTTTATGTTATAGATAAATTATTGAATGTCCTCAATACTTGGTTCTCCCAAGTCCAACCCGATCTCACAGGAATTCGTATGAATTTTACGAGGTGGCTAATTCGTAACAGGTCGTACGACCTCACTCGTACGAATTAGTACGATTTTGCTAAATCGTACATATTTTGCGAATTAGCCAATTCGTATGAATTCGTACGAATGACCTACCCCTGACCCCGCCCCTAAACATAACCGTCACATGGGTTTAGACAAATCATACGAATTCGTATGAGTGAGGTCGTATGAATTAGTACGAATTAGCCACTTTTGAATCACTCGTACGAATTCGTACGAATTGGTCGTGAGATAGCGTAGGTTCTAAATAAATATATATATAATATAATATATATATATATATACTTGGTTCTCCCAACCCGATCTTACGGGAATTCGTACAAATTTTACGAGGTGGCTAATTCGTAACAATTCGTACGACCTCACTCGTACGAATTAGTACGATTATGTTAAATCGTACATATTTTACGAATTAGCCAATTCGTACGAATGACCTACCCCTGACCCCGCCCCTAAACATAACCGTCACGTGGGTTTAGACGAATCGTACGAGTGAGGTCGTATGAATTAGCACGAATAAGCCACTTTTGAATCACTCGTACGAATTGGTCGTGAGATAGCGTAGGTTCTCCATGTACGTGTATTGTTTTGACCATTATTGCATTTAAATTTAAAAGAGCTGCTTGATAATCTATAAATCCTAATTGATTTCAGTTTAATCAGGATTAAATGAGACATTTTTTCCTAGCAGTCAGAGGTGTGGTTTCTGAAACTGTCCTGATTTTTATTTTTATTTGGTTCTTTGCTCTTGTATCTTTTATGAGGGTGAATTGAAGTGGCACAGAGCCTCAGATGTGCGCTGACTCTGCCCGAATATCACAGCGGAGCCATAAATCTTGTGTTTTTGAGGCTAGCCTCAGAGGCGTTTGGAAGCTGCTCCTTGTGTCGATAGCCCAGAGTTTCTGGAAACGGTTATATAACCACACAAAGTGGTGAAAACCAGAATCTAAAGTAGAGCAAGTCGGTGTCTGTGCAGCAATTCGTGGAACGACTGTATTTTGTGCTTGAACGTGACATATTTAAATGAATTACTGAAAACATTTGTTGGAATTATGGAATAATGCTCTGCGTCTTTGCATTCTAAACCTTCAATTAAGTGAATGAAATGCTGCACTCGATGACTTTACCGAGTTCAGACGTCTGTGGAGGGATTTGGAACGGTTGGTGCACCACTGAATTGAATTACGCTTCCCATGCCGTGACCTTTCTCCATTCTCATGGCCCACATGGTCAACCGAAACATGACGGAATGGTAAAATGGTTCCAGAAGTATTGGACTAGTTTGAGCTGGATTGAGGCTGCAGGCTCGAATCAAGAGCAGAAGAGGATTTATATGTGCATCAAATAACATGCATGTTGTATTCTGGATCATTCTGAGATTCCATAGTGATTTGGGCCAATAATATGTTCATTACATAAGTTCATTGCTTCAGAAAAGCACCCGTGGTTCCAGTCATAAATGAAGAGCTGAGTCTACTAATTTAAGTAGCATGTTAGTGCTAAAATTAGGCGTCAGTGAACTTTGTTAAACTGCTATAAGTGGGTCCACATGAGGGGAGGACCATATAAAAGTATAACCGTGCGTACAGGACAATCGGCTTCATGAGAAAGCAATGGCATTCACTCAAGGGCTGCCCCCTGCCCCTCCCGACTAACTTACTCCGGCATAATCAGTGCTTTGTGCTGGCCGTGGAATCCGGGACAAAAACGCAAGACTCAATTATAGAGAAGGTCCGAAAAAGACTGTTACCCCAGCAACCACAGAAAGCCTTTAAAGGCAGACGTGAACTTAACCGGTGCCGCAGCTTTTGTATACCGAGTCATGCTGCTATTGAGGAGCCCGGGGCCAAAACCATGTGCAGTCATCACCGTGCCAAAGCTTTAGAGTTTGTCATGAGTTAGTGGTGTTTGTAAAGCCAAGCATCGCTATTATTATTGCTCAAACAAACCCCTAATACTAAGTCTTAAAGGGTTCACCTAAAAATGAAAATTCTTCCATTAATTACTCAAAAACTAAGCATGTGAATTACTTATTATGTCTTTACTACCTATAGGGCTTGAAAGTGGTAGTTGCGTAGCTGTCAATGGAGGGACAGAAAGCTCTCAGATTTCATCAAAAACATCTTCATTTGTGTTCCAAAGATAAATGAAAGTCTTTGGAACGACATGAGGGTGAACAATTAATGACAGAATTTTCATTTTTTTGGGGCACCTAAACTTTTAAAGGAGTAGTTCTCTTTTGAAAAAACTTTTGCTGATAATTTACTCACCCCCACGTCATCCAAGATGTCCATGTCATTCTTTATTCAGTCGAAAAGAAAGGTTTTTGATTTAACCACTCCATTTAATTCATTAAACGTATGAAGGGAACGAATTGACTCGGAAAAAGATTCGTTCATTTTGAAGAACGAGTTCGAACAGGAGAGTCACGAACGCGCATCACAGATCAGAGCAAGGCAAGCATTTGAGCTTATAAAACTTAAACTTTTTTATTTATTTATTAAATGAGCGATCATTTCGCTTGATAAGACCCTTATTCATCGTCTGGAATCGTTTAAAGCCCTTTGAACCGACTGCACTGAAACTGGTTCCCATTGAAGTGCATTATATGGAGAAAAATCCTGGAATGTTTTCATCAAAAACCTTAATTTCTTTTCGACTGAAGAAAGAAAGACATGGACATCTTGAATGACATGGGGGTGAGTAAATTATCAGCAAAAGTTTTTTGAAAAGTGAACTACTCCTTTAAACATGTAACGTCATCTGCATAGCAACACACTAAAATCTATTCGAGCATAGAAATGCACCAAAAACCATTTAGAACACTTCAAAAAACAATCAGAACTCCTACGCATAGCAAACCAAAACCCATAATGAAAATATAGTATCTGATTATAAATGATGTAAAGCTAAGATATAAGCTTTGCTAAACGGTACGTTTTACATATAAAAGTAGCTGTCTACTGAATTTTATGTCCCAAAATGAAAAATAATAAAGGTGGTCAGAGGCACGTTGTGGACCCAAAAACAATAAAGGATAAAAGAAGTGGAAACAGCCTGGAGTTCATTAGCAATTTCACTGCAACCAGCTCTGGAATGAACCGAGGGGGAGAGGATGAAGGACAAAGATATACTGATCCTTAGACAAGCACGCTTGGAGGAATTGCTGATCGCCATGTACTTCAATCCTCGCTGGTGAGAAAACAGGCCTGGTGAAAGATCAGTGTGGATACGTGGGCGAAGATTCTTTGTTTCTGTGACTCTCCGGCCCAATATGAAATTGGTTCAAGCTAAAAAATCTGATCAAAGCTGCCCATTTTTCTCAAATCTGGCTGCGTTTGGTCTAGGAATGCTTTAAAATGTTTTGTCTGTGCTCAGATTGCCTCGGTTTTCTTTTAACCAAACCATTTCATCAATTTAAATGTATATTACACATTATTACGATCATTATTGTAGGTGAAAGATTGAGAAGTGGGCTTTAATGAGAACCGCAGATGGTTTATAGCAGCTCTCCCAGTTTAAATTTCCCTGGATACAAGCTGAAACCATGTGTCTGTGACATCTGAGACTTCCTCACATGCCTGTGGATATTTTTTTGTTTGTTGCTGCAGAACCCTCACATTCCCTGGCCGCTCAGACTCTACGGTTTTCAGAACGAAGACTTCAGTATTGATTCTTCTGCTTTCAAATCCAAACCAGTGGCCCCTAGCCATCTCAATTCATCCCCCAGACACTCAACTCTGAAAGGGAGGGATCTTTTCTTAGCGGAGAGAAGGAAAATCATGCTGTATGTTGGAATGCACAAAGGTTTTCTTTATTAATTAAAAGGAGTTTCTGTTACAGTACCTCCCGTTAATCTAAAACAGCTGGATTTGAGTTGAGAATCATATGTTATCTTTATGAAGCCCAAAGTCATTTTCGTAGTGACGCCCAGGCAGACGAAGGTGAATTTACAGCAAAGTAAGAGCATTTCTGGTTTCTGGACTTTAAGTTTATGACATCAGCTTCTGAACAATAAAGGCCACATTTCTCCAGCATGATGTGAACCTTCTCACATTTAGTCAGCTTATAAAAGAGAAGGTAAGACTTCCTTTGTTTTACAACCAATTAGTCAAATAGTTTGTTCTATTAACAGGCGGAAAACAGCAACAGGCCTGAATTATAATCATCCTGGACTTCATCAGGGGCCATACAGTGGAGATCACATGGGTAATGTTTGAATATACATGTAAATAAATATAAAAAAGAACATTTAATAAAATGTCTTTCAGTTTAGGTAAGCTTGAAATCGATAAATTGACCATGTTTACTTTCTAAACACTGTAAGAATGTTTAGATATTTGTACTAGAAAACGAGAAAAATACTGATGAGGATCAGGTTTTTTCTTGTAGTGCAATAGTCAAAATTAATTGTAAAGATGTTTTTTTAGGAACAGTTTTCATTGAAAGACAATTGATTATTTAGTTAAATGGTTCTTAGAATTTTAAAAACTTGCATGATCCTACATTATAGTTTCTTTAAATATTGATTGATTGGTTATTTCCTGCTCAGACGGTTTTCGAAAGAACAGTATTCATAAGAGAAATTATACAGTATTTAATTGTTTTTTATTTTTACAGTATATACATAAAATACTGTAAATGGAAGTACAGTACCCTTACTGTAAAAATATTCACAGTAACTTACTGGCAACAATTAGCCAGTAAGTTACTGTAAATACAACTAAAATCACAGTGTTTAATTTTTGATTTCACAGTATAAACATAAACTACTGTAAATGGAAGTACAGTGCCCTTACTGTAAAACGTATTCACAGTAACTTACTGGCAACAATTAGCCAGTAAGTTACTGCAAATACAACTAAAATCACAGTGATTAATTGTTTTTGATTTCACAGTATATACATAAAATTCTGTAAATAAAAGTACGGTACCCTTACTGTAAAACTAATTCATAACTTACTGGCAACAATTAGCCAGTAAGTTACAGTAAATACAATTAAAATCACAGTGTTTAATTGTTTTTGATTTCAAAGTATAAACATAAAATACTGTAAATGGAAGTACAGTACCCTTACTGTAAAATTTATTCACAGTAACTTACTGGCAACAATTAGCCAGTAAGTTACTGCAAATACAACTAAAATCAGTGATTAATTGTTTTTGATTTCACCGTATATACACTCTAAAAAATGCTGGGTTGTTTTAACCCAACTTTGGGTCAAATATGGACTAACCCAGCCGTTGGGTTAAATTTTTACATTACATTTTTAACCCAACATTTCGGGTTTGTCCATATTTGACCCAAAATTGGGTTAAAACAACCCAGCATTTTTTAGAGTGTACATAAAATACTGTAAATGAAAGTACAGTACCCTTACTGTAAAATGTATTCACAGTAACTTACTGGCAACAATTAGCTTTTGTTAATTGTTGATTGTTAATTCACAGTAACTTACTGGCAACAATTAGCCAGTAAGTTACTGTAAATACAACTAAAATCACAGTGTTTAATGTTTTTAATTTCAAGGTATATACATAAAATACTATAAATGGAAGTACAGTACCCTTACTGTGAAATGTATTCACAGTAACTTACAGGCTAATTGTTGCCAGTAAGTTACTGATAATTTTTACTGTAGGCCTGAATTTTTTTACAGTGTTGTCTACTGACTACAAAACATTTTTTCGGTTCCATTTGGAACGTTGATTTCCAAGATTCTAGATGTAACCCATTGGTGGATGTCATCTGAAAGCAATGGAAGCATATTTCCAGATGCATTAACTTTAGATTTACAACAACACAGGCATTTATGGCCCAGGGGATTATGACATGCTCTCAATTTCTATAAAAGTACTCTGAGATAAATCCCCAACCAGTGAGGAATGTCCTCGCACGTCGAGAGGGAAGACTAGCACACATGTGAACAAATTCTGAGACACGGTGGTAGAAAGGAAATCGCCGTTCACTTTGGCAGTGAATCCACTGGAAGAAAAACAGACCTTCCTACTGTATTTTTTTGGGTGGCTGGCTGGCATCTTGCCAAAGAGTCCAGTCTGTTGCATGAGAGCCATTTTGAACGGCTTTATTGAAGAGGAATCCAGCTGAAGAGCCCAGACCTCTCTGGTCTAAGTAATGCAAAGGTTCTGGAACATTACATAACCTTGCTATGAATGCATAAACCACTGCTCTCTTTCTTTTACACACACATCAGTATTTGAGTGCTTAACCAAGGGCTGTCTGTAACTGTGCGCCTGTTCTCCTTGGAGGGAGGAATGTTCCTCTGGTAAAACAATTGGTTTTTGCTTATAGGTTGTCATGAATGAACAGAAGTAGTTTTGATTTGTTAGTGCTCATACTTAAAGGGATAGTTCACCCAAAAATGAAAATTCTGTCATTAATTACTCACCCTCATGTCGTTCCAAACCCGTAAGACTTTACTTCACCTTCAGAATACAAATGAATTTGATGAAATCTGAGAACTGAAACTTTTACGCTTCAAAAAGTTCATAAAGAGTTCATAAAAGTAATCCATATGAATTAAGTGATTTATTCCATATTTTCTGAAGAGATAGGCTACGGTCACTTGATATGATGAACAAATGTAATTTAGGCTATATATATATATATATATATATATATATATATATATTTTTTAAAGTAAAATAGAAATAAAAAAATTTAAAGTATTTTTTAACATGACCAAGTAAGTCCTGGTGAAATATAAAATTGAGCCTGATTTATGCAACAACACTATCCACTCATAATGTTTCCCTCCTGAGGCCCCAAAATTGATTCCAGAATTATAACTCATAACTCAACACTCATAATTGTCTTCAGGCAGCTGGAGTTCTAGAAATTTCACATTGTATATTGGCAGACAGCACAGACTATTAATAAAAATTAAAGCTCAAAGAACATTCCTATTAGTCAGGCCTGTTTCATTTTTCCTGTACGTGTTAGCTAAGTTAGCCCACTCTATTTCCTCAGGAAAAGGTCTGGAGAATGGAATCCTTTCCGCATGGGGCCTAATGAAGTGGAGGGAGGAGAGTGACACACATGCAGGAAAATCATGATGGATCGGATTTAAACAGCATGATTAATCCTGGAACCATAAATTAGTTTTTTGGATAGTCAACAAGAAAATGAAATGTACTGTATTAATCTGATTACTGTAATAATTTGCGTGATAATGTGGAAAATAAGAATGGCGTATCAAATCTGTGCTATTCTAGTTCTGCTCAAAATGGCAATCACACCACTGTAGACTGACTGCTCTCTGGTGGTCAGTAAAGAAGTTGCACTTTCAATTATTCGTGTTTGGGTGTCTGTAAAACTCGTAGACGGTAAAACTATGTATTGTGGCTTATAGACTGCCTCTTGGCGACTGTCATGATGGTTTGGCACCTGTCTGTTGTCCTGATATGGTAACATGTGTGATACAACTTTGGCATGTGTGTTAAGGAGTTACTAGCCGGCCTCTGTTACATATACCCAACTTCAAGTTATAGCATAATCCAAGTTGGTGAAAAATACCTGGAAAATTGCCCTCAGTTTATTAGTCTTTTGTGAAGTGGATTGCATGGGTCAGAAATGATCAAGGGCATAAATAAAGCCACCAAAAGTGACAAAAAGGTGTTTTATAGCAAGCATTGTGCCTTTTTGTTTCATTTCTGACACTGGGACTGCTTAATATAGGTGAAAGCACAGTCATGGGAAATCCTTTTCACTCAATTTCCAGTAGGCCAAAAATCATGAATGACAAAAAAAGAAAAAAAAAGAAGAAAAAAAAAGAAAATATCCTTAAAATATGTTAATAATGAGAATGGTGATTAGAGGAGTAATCCTACTGATGAATGGTGTGTCAATGAAATATATTTCTGACCTAGCTATTTTTAGCTTTGTGGGAAAAAAGAATATAGCTTAAAATCTTTCTAGATGATTATCCAAATCAGATTTTTTGGTTGATAAAAGTAGACTTATCGGTATACAATAGCCTATACAATATACTTATACAATTATCGGTAACACTTTACTTGAAGGGGTGTGCATAACATGACACCTTCATAATCATGACATATTATGAATATGAAGGAAGTTTTATGCATGTTTGTGACAACTGTCATTAAGTGTCATTCGCTCAGTTATGTCATTTTTAATGCAAATATGACATTGTTTGAGAGATATCTTGTCTTTGTTATGTCACCTTGACATAAACCAATATATCATAACCTGCCAGTGTCTTTGTCATGACAACTTGACACTACTAAGATAACTAAACATGACATAGCAGATTAATTATTAAACTTAAGAAACCAGCAAGGTTTATTGGTTAACATTAGCTACATTAAACTGTCAGGTGGTTGGTTCTTTTTTTTTTTTTTAATCAGTGAGGGAATTATTCAGTTAGTAACCGACGTATGATCACGTATCCTGCAGAAATTCCCTAGCTCGATCCTTTCTTTTACATGGCTCGATCCGAACGAATCTTGTTGGTCAGATTCAAAAGATTCGACTCACTGATGAATCAAAATTCCCACCAGAAGCAGCCTGTGTGTGAATATCTCTTTAAGAATGAAGCTGAAATTGGATCCTTTCGCCACTACCACATACAGCCATCATGAGTTTCAATCAACCTCAACATGTTCTCACCGACTCGCGTTTATAAAACCCTCACACATCGTAGATTGAGAATATTATAAGGGCCTTTCGTTTCTGTTCGATATGAAATCATGCATTTCATATCGCCGTGGAGAGAGGAGAATCGAAAAAACTGACTGACGGATAAAAACACGGATTTTTATCACCCCAATGTTTTCAGACACCATGCACAACTAACCAACAGACACTATTGATGATTGATAAGAGGTAAGCATATGGGTTAATACGTATTGCATGATGATATCAAACAATATTTTATGGCATACGCGCTGTGTTTTAGCCAGCATTGCGGTGTGATATGGCCTAAAGAAAGGCATGTGGGTAACGTTAACAACAACACGAGTCGATTTCCGTTCATAGCAATGATCCATTATGTGTTATCAAATAGTCAGTGCTGAATTGCAGGAGATGTATATTTGACACGCGCCCATCTTCATAAAATGCTCATCTAAGCAAAATATAAATATGTGCATTTGTTACACAAGCTATGCGGTTCAATGCAGTATCAGTCGAAGTTAAATGACCGACTTTGACAAATGAAGGCTTTAAAATGACATTTAAAGGCCAATGTCTGAGTTTAACATTTAAATATGATATATATGGTCGACTCTGTATTGAAGATGCATGAGTTTGAAGGAAAACATTTTGTTTAGGTTTGTGACTTGAAAACATCAACTTTTACTTTATCTAATAAATAAATATTAACTGTAGCACATGTTTTGCGGAAGTGTTTGAGATTTTTTTCATTAAACTCTGTTTCTGACTTCTATAAACTTTCTTCTGGGGTCTTTTATTCTGCTCTTCCTTATTTGGTGTACTTTCAGTTTTGGGAGCTGCTGTGTGCGCGTGTGTATAAAAAATGAAAAGAGATTTTTTTTTAAATGTACATAGTTTAAAACACTTGACAATCTCGTAGAAATGCAATATTTGTAGTAATGTTTTGTTTAAAAAAAACTTTAATGCCATTTTTCAACAAAAGTTTTGGTGTCTGGTGGTACAACCATCAGGCAATGGTAAAACATGTCCATGTCCTCTATCGTCTTTTCAAGACAAACATAATTTTACAAATATCATGAGTTTTTGAATCATTTTGTATATGTATGTACTTTTGCTCTGCAGTTTCCTCATGGATTTATTAAAGCATTCATTTGATCCGTTCTGCTGCTGTATGAGCTTTGCTTTGCTCAGCTAATCTTTCATTCATAAGGCGGCACTGCTTTCCTTAATATACATACAGTATGATGCATTCACTAAAGCATGGCAGCAATGCAGCTCTATCAATGCTATGATCTGCCTTCTTCATGATAAACCTGTACATCTGAATGGAAAGCATCTCAATCTACCCACTTTTCCGCCACTGAAGACTTTTACTGTTTTTTTTATGATACATGCACACACAGCAGAAGACATGCTATCACACCACGTGTTCATCTGTAAGAACTGCTGAACTTCCTGTTGTGTCACAGCCATTGCTATACATTTTTTTGTGACCTCTTTGGATGCCTGCCCTTCACAACCAGCGTGAACCTGTATAGCGACTGTAAATACCCCCGCCCCCACCCCTCCCCCTGACTGGGCGGACATGTGTGCATGGAGCCTATTGCAACATAAAGAACATCTAAATTTAGTCACAGCTTGTTTTTTGACTCCCATCACCCCATGAGGAGATGTGCTGATGTGACGTCACTGCACATCTCATTCAGTTCTTTGGCCATGTTTTAAAATATAGATGGTTAGTGAATCATGTTCGCTTACTATCAACTCTATTGTTTATGCTTCTGCAGTTTTCAACTGGCTTTTATATTGCTACAAAAGGGCCTACATTTAGGGCTGGGTGAAAAAAAATGATTTCTTGATTTAAATTGATTCTCATTTTTATGAACCAACATCAATTCTTAAATCCCAAGAATCAAATTTAGTACATGTTTATAAATGAGGGACCTTTATTTTGACACTCACCACATCTTTATTAGAGCCCGACCGATAAAGGATTTTGAAGGCCGATACCAATACAAATATTTTTGGGTTTTAAAATCCGATATTCCGATATATCGGCCGATTTTTATTTTTTTATTTATTTTTTTATTAAATATTTTTGGATTTTACACACGTGTAAAAGAAAAGCTAACTTTTCTGCACAAGACACGTTTGATACTTTTTGTCTATGTCTAAATGTTCACTCCTCGCAAGTATAACTTACATTTTACAATGCAGGGACTGTAACTAGAGATATTCTAATTATAAATACAGTAATAATTACTTTATTTAGGCAGAAAAAGTCCATTGTGATTTCCAAGCTCATTAATGTTGACGTTAGCGGTCTTCCACTGATGATAGTGGCATTAGCTAGCTTTGTAGTTAGCTAGTCTATGATGAGCCATAATTTAGCAATAGATAACATCATATCGCAAATTGTAAAACATAAATTTTCAATATAACATACCAAGGAGAGACGATTAAAGCGTGCTATTAATTTATCGGCCATTTATAACTGCCGATACCGATATTATGGAAAATGCCTAATATCGGCAGATAATATCGGCCGGCTGATATATCGGTCTGGCTCTAATCTTTATGCAATGAATGCACCTTATCAAATAAATGGCACACCACTGTTCCAAATGGCACATGTGAACAAGGTGGATCATTAATGTCTCAAAGAATACATTTTAAATAAATATTTCTGCTGAACTTAGTACTCTTCGGAGTAAATGACCTCAAAGCTAGAACACCTTGTCTAAAAGCCACAAAACTGCAATTTTGTGGTTTTCAAATCTGTGTCAGGCTCTTTTCACCACACTCTCAGTTGAAAGGGTTCATGTTTTGTATATTTCTATCGTCCTTTGAACACTTGTAGCCTTAGGTAAGAGTGCAAATCATGTTTTCCATTAGCCATTATGGGCCAGAGGTCATGAGAGTAGATCAGCGGGAAATGTTATGAGCACTTAGATGGCCAGTGGAAGATGTCTTGTAAAATAATGCTGCTTCCAAGAGTATTTTAGAATTTTTATTTGTCAAGGACATCCTTGTATGTCTTATGTATTAGTATATAACAGTTTATTTCACAGTATTTTTCAGCAAAAATATTGAATCAGTATGTTATAAATATACAAATAAATATTTAAAATCAGTAGCAAATTTCATTTTTCCAGGTGACATTAACCCTTGTGCATCCTTATGGACATTTTTGTCCTTTTCAGTTTTGTTTTTTTGATCACTTTGCCTGTGTTAAAGCTAACTGCAAAAAATTTGGCAGCTAAAGCTAACTGCAAAAAATCACCGTCGTTTTCAAAAAAATATTTTTTGCATTAGGTACAAAAAATACTCCCTCTCAGCGCCTTTTGGACAAAAATGTCCCCATTGAACCATTAAAACTGCAATTTTTAATCCCCGGTTCAGTTAACTATAAAATTATGCAATCTTTGTTGAGAGGCTTTCATTCTGTTGGCAAGGCTTCAAAATTTTATTTTTGACTTTTTTTTTCAGATGGTGCCTTTTTTTAGGTTTGGCCTATAAAACAAATATCACTTTATTTCCTGTTTTCTGGTTCGGCATATTATAGAGCCAACTGGATAACTTATGCAAAGATATTTGTGTGGGTGTGTTGGTATGGATGTCAGAGTGTGGTTACTATATGTGTGTGTTTGTAAGACAAATCCAATCACTGTGAGCACCAGTGGGTTTTTGCTAGCACCCAATGGGGAAAACATGTTACTATGCCCAAACAAACTGTTACCGAAAGCTCATTTTTTGAGATATCATCCTCAAATTTGGAACACAACCATTTTCGATTTATGGCTTTGATTTTATTGCCGTTTTGATTTCAACCTGATTTATAAAATATATACTTTATATACATTTTTATAAATAATTTTCATAAATTTATACCTATATAATTTTTATTATTATTTTTTTTACTTCAGCAATAATCTGCGAAGGGTCTTCTTTAAAATGATTACCAAACTTAAGTCTGTGCTCCGAAGCATCACATTTTTATGACAGTTTTTTGACAGACATTTCTGTCCTCCATGTACTGTACCTATGTGTAACTTTTTTTTAAATTGATGCACAAGGGTTAAACACACAAACACGCACTTAATGCCGTGAATTTAATACTTGTTCACAAATGAAAGGTATAACTAGATTTAGTCCAGCTGACAATTTGAATGTTGACCCTGTGGCTTTTATTTCTACCGAACCACACCATATATGGAAGAAAGTAAACACTCTTGTTACAGGAAGTGAGAATAGCTCAGGTGAGCATGAATACAGTGTCTGTCTTTTACTCTGTGCCGATTTACTCCTACTAAACCCAGCTGGAATGCTGTGATTATTTTGGCCAAAGGATTATCATTATGGATCACTGCTTCCTTATGAGCTTCAAAGGGGACAGACTTGTTTTTCTGGTGCACAATGAGCCAGGCTTAAAAGAGGAACTGTTCAAACTGCTTTTTTTTTCTTAAACAACAGTATGATTTCACCTTTAGGAGAAGGCTGATATTTAGATCTGAGCTCAGTCAGCATGATGTGTATATACAGCGCTACCATCAAGGATTATGTGCGTATTGTCATTTATTACTAACAAAAGCCCACTGTTGATATACTGAACGGTTGTGTAACCAGAATATCTGAGATTTTGGAGTCTTTTGGAATGGTCAACAAACTCCTACGTCACGCCTGGCTGCAGTAAATATCATCAACCAATGATTGAGTCTGGAGTGTGAGATGGAGACTTGGGCTTTATATCACCTCATTTGGTTTTCCTCACTAACACCGTAATGGCAGAGGGCATGTCTGTTAAACATTTACTTTCTCCTGGCTGGTGTTTTCCGTCGTGTGATCTCAACGGCACATTGATGTTCATGTCTTTTTCTGAAGCGACTTCAAAGGTCTACTATGCTCTTTTTGTTCCAGTGGGGTCGGGTGGCCATGGACCCCTTCAGCCAGCTGATCCTGCTCATCTCGGTGGTGAGTTTTTGCACCTTTCAGTGGCTCTTTCACAGCGTGAGCCCATGGGTGTCGTCCAGAATCAGCCCTGGCTTCCTCAAACTCACCCACAAACAGAAGATCGAGTGGAACTCAAGGTAATGAAGAAATGCTTGTTGATTTTAATAATAATAATAATAAGTTAAATTTATATAGCGCCTTTCCCAAGCTCAAGGACGCTTCACAATGACAGTAAATACAACAAAAATGGACAATGGACATTTGCCCAGTCCAAGTAATGAGCGATTGCAGTTGCAAGTCGCATTACGTTTGCAATACAAACATAGAAACAAAGACAACACGCATTAAAGGGTTAGTTCACCCAAAAATGAAAATTAAGTCATTAATTACTCACCCTCATGCTGTACCAACCCCGTAAGACCTTCGTTCGTCTTCGGAACACAAATGAAGATATTTTTGATTAAATTTGAGAGCTGTATAACTACCACATTGGCTCCTAAGGGACTGCCTCTTGACGGCCCAGAAAGTCAATGAAGAAAATGTTTAAATATCCCAAGTGACTACCGTGGCTCAACTATATGTTTATCAAGCGACGCGAATACTTTTTGTGCGAAAAAACAAACAAAAATAACGAGTTTATTCGACTATTTCTTTTCTTCCTTGTAGGCCAGAACGAGACTTCCTTAGATTTCCACGACGCATGCGCGAGAATTGCAATCTGCTTACACTACTTCAGATTGCAAATCTCGCGCATGCGTCGTGGAAATCTATAAGGAAGTCTCGTTTCTGGCCTACAAGGAAGAAAAGAAATAGTTGAATAAACTCGTTATTTTTGTTTGTTTTTTCGCACAAAAAGTATTCGCGTTGCTTGATAAACATATAGTTGAGCCACGGTAGTCACTTGGGATATTTAAACATTTTCTTCATTGACTTTCTGGGCCGTCAAGAGGCAGTCCCTTAGGCAGCCAATGTGGTAGTTATACAGCTCTCAAATTTAATCAAAAATATCTTCATTTGTGTTCCGAAGACGAACGAAGGTCTTACGGGGTTGGTACAGCATGGGGGTGAGTAATTAATGACTTAATTTTCATTTTTGGGTGAACTAACCCTTTAATTATAGACAGCCTAGTGTACAGTTGGAGTAGAGATGCAAAAATGATTGGAGCCTAAGTTAACATTGTGACCGTGTTCTGTCAAATTAACATTTCCATGACTGAAATTCTGATGTGTTTTGAGTTTTCGAGAGTTCCAAAGCTTTGGGGCGATAACAGAGAAAGACCTGCCGCCCATAGAAGATAGACGAAATCTCTGCTCACATAGGAGCCAGAAGATCAGAGAGTTCGAGGGGGAGTATGAGGAGAAAGTAAGTCAGAGAGATAGGCCGGGGCAAGACCATTGAGTGACTTAAACGTAAGCAGAAGAATTGACCTATGGCTAAGCCACGCCCCCTCCACTCACTCAGACAATCAGTCAACATTCGGGCGCGGGTGCTATGCAGCTGTCACAATAGGAGACACTTCACAGGAGGCAATTGGTGATTTTTGGAGACAGAAAGATTATATATCATCTTGAAGTCACCTAAAAGGCCTTTACTATGCATTTGAGGGTTATATTAATAATTTTATTGTTGAGAAGGTCGATGAAAAGCTTCCGCTTCAGGCAAAAATGTACAGGTCACAGTGTAAACGTGATAAACCGCATTTCGTTGCCATCACCGTTTGGTGCTACGGTATTTACATGAATCATTCAGCACGACATTGTTAACATTTGTTACCTCGGTTATTTACAGATATGTTAGTGAAGCATGATGTACAACGCAGAGAGAAGCTAACGTTAATGTTTTCTAATGTACGTCGAACGTTAGACGTTACGTTAGAGATTTTAAAGATAACGTTCAAATACTTAACTTAGATCGGATGTAGACATCCTTGTTTAATTTGTCCGCGTTTAGTTTGTACCCAGACATCAAAACTGACATTGAATCAACGTGGAAACGACGTCTCTCATGACATTGAAACAACGTTGATTTTGCTCATCGAATTAACGTTGAACCAACGTCAGACGCGGCATTCTTCAAAGCTAATGAAAATCGAAAATTGGTTTGCTTTCATAACGTTGAAACAACGCGTTGATTTCAAGTTGATTTTCCGTTAGTTTTGAAAGAATGACGCGTCTGACGTTGGTTCAACGTTAATTCGATGAGCAAAACAATGTCAGATCAACGTTGTTTTGATGTCATGTTTCCACGTTGATTCAATGTCAGTTTGCTATCTGGGTATTGTGGTCTAGCGCATGATCCAGATCAGACACTTATCTTGGTTGAGATGTGGTTTGGGAAAGGGTAAAAAAAAAACAAAACAAAAAAAACACTGTCGCCCAGCCTCTCGGGAACCTATTGTTAGAGTTGCATTTTTTTAGGAATTATGTCTGGTTGCACTGTACAGGTCTGATTCATTAATAACAACTGACTGAAAAGACTCATTGTATGCACTGTATGTTTGTGATTCACTAAAAAGGACTACCTCGGAGTCATTCATTTAGGAAATGGACTGTACAGGTCACACACTGTGTGTTTCTGAGTCACTAAAAAGAACTGACTCATTCATTCAGGAATCATTTAGGCACATGGATTGATTCACTTAAAAGAACCGGCTTTGATTTGCTCGTAAGAGTCATTTGTTTAGGAATCAGCTAGGAATTCTGATTCACTAAACAGAACTCGATATACTCATTTGTTCAGGAATCATTTACATATCTGGTTGCACCGTATGGTTTTAATGAAGTAAAAACAACCAAATATATAAAGAATCTCTGCATGCTCTGTATGTTTTGATTCACTAAAAAGAACTAGCTCAAAGAGTCATTTGTTTAGGAATCAGCTAGGAATTCTGATTCACTAAAAAATAACTCAAAATATTTATTTGTTCAGGAATCAGTTTCATATCTGGTTGCACCGTATGGTTTTAATTAAGTAAAAACAACCAAATATAAAGACTCTTTGCATGCTCTGTATGCTTTGATTCACTAAAAAGAACTAGCTCAAAGAGTCATTTGTTTATGAATTGAACTTTACTGTGTGACTCAGTCCTGACTGTTCTGAGTCATTAAAAAGAACTCGAAATACTAATGTTCATGAATCATTTTGACAGCAGTTTGCACTGTGTTTTAAAATTCACAAAACAAATTTACATTCTGTAGTAGTCATTTGTCGAAGAATCAAATTGGTTGCACCCTATTGTTTTGAATCACTGAAAAGAATCACTGCATGACCTGCATGTTTTTGATTCTCTATTAAAAAAAAACCTGGCTCATAACATAAGAGTAATTCGTTTAGGAATTGGACTTTGCTGAGACATTAAAAAGAAGTGACTCTCAGACTCAGGAATCATTTAGGGAACTGCTTTTTGATTCACTGAGAAGAACAGAGTCGTTTGTTTAGGAATCACACTACAGTAAAATTACAATTATACATACACCGTTACAATAATGTGAAATTATAGGCTAAGAGCCATTCTTAACTGCCAGTATGTTGAAAATAGTCAGTGGATTTGCAGTGGACACTGTTAAATGTCTTATCAGGAGAGCCTACAGAGAGCAGGTTGTAAGCTGTCACTCAAATTGACTAATGTCTGTGTATGCAGAAAGAAACTGAGGGAAGATAGCAGTGATCATTTGCTCATTTCAGCGGCTGTCAAGAGAGCAGCCAGCTGGAGGAGATCTTTAGATGTAGGGCACACAGCATCTGGTTGATTGACAGCAGTCAATTGCTCGGTTTCGATTGTTTCAACTTGACACGGCTCAACGGGAGAAGCAACCCACTATCATGTGTGATTAAACCCTTTCCCTTGCGTGTGTGTGCAGGACAGTGTCGACGCTCCACGCCCTGTTGGTCGGCCTTTTCTGCCTCTACATCCTGTTCTTCGATGAGGGCGTCAATCGGGACCCCGTATGGTGAGCGCCCTGCCCTCGAGACCGACCCGCCACACTGCATGCTGGGAAAGCACCGCTCTTTACAGACTAGCAGGACGCTTTCAGTAACTGTTGTAACATGGTCTTGCAGTAATCTCAGTGCCTTGTTCTCATCTTTACCACAACAGGGGAGATCCTACTCTGGTGAAGATAAACGTGAGCATTACTACAGGCTACCTCATATCTGGTGAGCCTCATATCCTCATATCATCGTGCATAGACATGCAGAATATTTTGGATTGTTTATAAGAGGTTGATTTGAAAATTCATTGTTCTTGCCCCATATTGCATTTTTGGGAGTTTCTGATATATTTAATGATATGTGATATAGATTTTTAAAGGAGTAGTTCACTTTTAAAAAAACTTTTGCTGATAATTTACTCACCCAAGATGTCCATGTCTTTCTTTCTTTCTTCAGTCGAAAAAAAATGAAGGTTTTTGATGAAAACATTCCATATAATGGACTTCAATGGGAACCAAATGGTTCAAGGTCCAAATGAGTTTCATTGCTGCTTCAAAGGGCTTAAAACGACACCAGACGATGAATAAGGGTCTTATCTAGCAAAATGTTCGGTCATTTAAAAAAAAAAAAATCTGTGATGCATTTTTGTGACTCTCCTGTTCAAACTCGTTCATCAGAATGAACAAATCTTTTTTCAAGTCATGACTCGTAAGGGTCCTAGAAAAGACCCTTATTCTTCGTTTGGTGTTGTTTAAAGCCTTTTGAAGCTGCACCGAAACTCATTTGAACCGTGAACCGTTTGGTTCCCATTGAAGTCCATTATATGGAGAAAAATCCTGGAATGTTTTCATCAAAAAATTAATTTCTTTTCAGTTGAAAGAAAGACATGGACATCTTGGATGATATGGGGGTGAGTAAATTATCAGCAAAAGTTTTTTTAAAAAGTGAACTCCTTTAAGTTGTTGGTCAGTCCAGTTTCACAAAAGAAATCTCTCTCTAGGAACATTTCATCATCTATGTGGTCTTTTTAACCTGGTTTTAGATGATTAATTTTAACAAACAAGACATTATTGTAAAGTTTTTTTTTTTAATTTTTATTTCAAATAATACCTTTATTATAATCTATTTTACGTTTAGTCTGTTCTATTTTTATTTATTTTATTTCAATTTATGAAAATGCTTATATTCTTATGATTTTAATGCTAGGTTGGGGCATATAAGTTGATTTGCATTAAAAAAATAATCAACCAAATAACAGCTTCACGATGAACAGCTTTAATTTAGCCTTTCATTCACATATAAACATTTATCAGCGAACGTGTACCTTATTGGTTTTCGCATTTCAAGCGAACATGTCCGAGCTTTCGTTTACCACAACTATGTGCGAGTTGAATGTTTATATGTGAATAAAAGCCTAAATTCAATCTGTTCATCATATAAAGCGATCGAGTGTCTTCAGAAAATATGGACTTAACCATGTAATTCATATGGATTAGTTTTATGATCTAATCAGTGTGTAGCTGTCAATGGAGGGCAAGAAATCTCGCAGATTTCATTTAAAAGATCTTCATTTGTGTTCCGAAGATGAACGAAAGTCTTACAGGTTTGGAACGACATGAGGGTGAATTGTAATTTTTGGGTGAAGTATCCCATTAAGGAATACTCTGAAACAAGGTTAAAATGAGCAGAGACATAATTGTTGGTGCTTCAAACGCCCCTATATGAATGTCAATGTGAGATGAGGCCATCTTATTAAACAATCTCATATGGAAACCGAAAAGTAGCTCTTTGAATGTATTAAGTCACTTTTAAAACTGGCAAATTCCTATTCCTGAAAGTAGTTCTGACTCTTCTCGCCTTTTTGTTCTGTGTGTTTTTCAGATCTGCTGCTTATATTTTACTATTGGAGAGCAATAGGAGACAAGTTTTTTGTAATCCACCACCTGGCGGCATTGTATGCTTACTACTTTGTACTGGTGAGTTCCCTGTTGTCCCATAACAGAACATGCAGGCAAGATGGGAAAGAGACAACCAAGAGTGAGCAGTGGTAGTGTCAGGTGTGCAGCTGGTGCTGAAAGCTCTGTGTTCCCTATTAACAGAGGAACATAATGAACAGATTTCTGCTGGAAGTCATTTTCTTCAGAAGGATTTATCCCATTTGTGTCATTACATTCACTATTACACATGTCACCTTTTTAAAATGTATAGCACACGTTGAGCATTCAGAGCACTCCTCCAACATTGTTAAAGGGATAGTTCACCCAAAAAATGAAAATTCTGTCAGTAATTACTCACCCTTATGTCGTAAGACTTTCAATATCTTTAATGAAATATGAGCGGGGTCTCACTCCATTGGCTGCTAGGTAATTGCATCTGCCGGCCCAGAAAAGTTAGTACAGACATTGTTAAAATAGTCCAAGTGATTACAGTGGCTCATCAAGCGATGAGAATATTTATTGTGCGCAAATACCCAAAAATAACGACTTTATTCAACTATTAATTGTCTTCCGTGTGGACCACGAACTGAGATGACGACCCATTAATTACTGACAGAATTTTAATTTTTGGGTGGACTAACCCTTTAAAGTGAAAGTTAGCTGCTGGCTTACTGGAATACTTCTGATTGGTCATTTCTGTGGCACCGCAGGCAAATTGCAGCAAATATATTTGTATAATGACAGGAGCAGGCCACCAGGAGCTAGTTTCATTACAATCTGTCTCGCTTTTCCCCACATAATTTAAACCCCAATCTTTATTTATTCATCTATGCATGCAAGGAGCAGAGTAATAAGCAGGATAATGAACAGCAGAAACCACAACGAGGGAATCTCGTATCAATGTTCTAGGGTTTATTTAGCTGACTGCATATTATATTTCTTAAATGTCCAGGAGTTATTGTACAAATAACCACACATTTTCATTCTGGTTTAGTGATCTTTGGATATTTAAAGCAAAGTATGACCCCATATTGAAGCTGTGACCTTCTCTGAAGAAATAAGGGCCTTGTTTCTTCTTACTAATGTATGCAAAGTTATTTATATTTGCAATTAGGGATGAGCAATCCAACTAATTAGTTGATTCGGTGAGGTTTTTTTTTTTTTATTTATCATTTATTAGTTTGCACAGTACAGCTGTCCTTTACATACAACGCATTCAGGCTGATGTCTTTAACATATTTGTTAAAGAGTTAGTTTTTTTGCAATTTAAGTTATGCAGTCTGTCCTGTTCTGTTGTGCTCTTATCTAGTTCTCAGCACAATAACACATCTTATGTAAACAGTTTCTTGGAAACTTGTATTTTTTGCTCATCCCTATTTACTATATCCTTAGTTTATTGTTAAAACGGTCTCCAAATGTCCAGATCTTTAACCACTAGACTACACCACCCACTGCTGTTCACTCTTGGTTCAGTTGTACGGTTACCCTCTAGGTCACCAAGTTCTGTAGCTGATGATGATGATGATGATGATGGTATTTTTTGCATGGAATGCTCATTGACGGTTATGCAGAAGTCCATTCTCTCCTCTTCAACTCTTCTTCTACCTCACTGACCCACTCTCAGCGGTCAGTTGTGGCCCGGTCTTGGTCTCGGGCCAGACTGCACCGGATTGTGTGCATGTGTTGATGCTCGCTGCTCCTGTGGTGCCGTTGGAGGATTTCCCGTGTGCATGCTCTGATACCTTCCCCTGCTTTGAGCCGATCTTCCTCCTAAAAACTCTCTCTTCTGAAACCTAACATCCACATCTCAACTGCAGGATGAGTAACAGCGTGAACGCACTTGTTTGTTGGGCTGTGTCGAGATTATTGCTAATCCACACTAAGGTTTTGCAGAATAACAGGTTGATCTGGTCCTCAACTGAATTCTAAATAACTACGCATTTAGATAAACAAGTTGTTGCACAACTGGGAAACTTGTTGCACACGTTGTGCTTTTTGATCGAAATTTGAAAGAAAACAACACCTAAAACGGCATCAGTTGTTTGGCATAGGTGATTCTGTGAAATGGGTGCCTTTAGTAATATTTTTTATATTTTTAACAGTATATCAGACAAAGATTGTTAATAAATTGTGTTGTGCCATTTCAAGCTAAATTGATATAATAATTTGGGCTGTGAAACGATTAATCGTGATTAATCGCATCCAAAATAAAAGGTTGTGTTTACATAATATATGTGGGTGCACTGTGTATAATTATTTTATATATATAAATACACACACGCATGCATGTATATTTTAGAAAAAAGTATTATTTATATATAAAACATTTATATTTATATATAATATAAATTAGATATAAATCTATATACATGAAAATGTTTCTTAAATATATACAAGCATGTGTGTGTATTTATTTATATAATATATAAATTATTTATAATTATTTATAAATTATTTATAATGTATAAATAATATTTTATTTATAATAATAATAATAATGATAATAATTATACACAGTGCACCCACATATATTATGTAAACACAAACTTTTATTTTGGTTTGCCAGCCCTAATATTAATTTCTGTCATTTCAGCAAGGTAACAGGGTTGATGCGATGTGACAATTAGATTGTTCCCTTTAAAATGAATGAAGATACTCAACTTCACTATGCGTTTTAATCGAAATGATCTTGTTTTGTCATATTGCGTCAGCCCCATTACTTGTGTTGCAAAGCACAGCTCACTTTCAGGATATAGATAATTATTAGAAAGTTTAGGTATTAGAAAGTTCATTTATATAAAAATATATATATTATGCTAATATTAGGACAGATATCTTTTCACTAAACAGTATATGCATATAGTTGGCATAAGCCTTTATTTGTTCAAGTCATTAATATCATTTTTTTAGGGTGACCTGACATAACTAACATATATTTGTCTTGGTCATGCTTGCACGTTGTGTGCACTAACGCATGAATTGTTAACAACTGTTATAAACCGTAGCGTATTATTACTTAGGATCAGCTGTAATCTTCCTTGATGATAATACCAATAATTTAAAATTCCACTGATATATTACTAAACAACAGAGACTCAAAAGGCACACGTTATGTAGAATGACCATGACAAATGATATCTGGTGGCTTAATAGTGTGTACATTTTCTAAAAAATCACAAAAAACCCCCAAAACTCTGATTCCGAAATATGCATCTGGGGCAGCGACTGATGATATTTATTCCTGGCTTTGTTGCTTGTATACCTTAATTACCTTGATTTAATGCAACTGAGGATCGCCTCAAAACCTGAACGTGCATTTTGTTGTCAGGATGTAGACCATACTGTCACTGGTCACTTTTATGACTGCCTTTTTCTAAATTATTACATGATCATAGATATATAGATCTGGAAGTCTCTGTTGGGTCTCACTGAGTAGTCAAGTCTGTCGTTCGAAATGTCATTCGTTGTTATTGTTTCACTGTGTTTAGAAATGCTATTAGTGTTCAAAGCAGAACCTTTTTAGTGTCTCTCTTTTTGTTATTACGTATTACTTCCCAGGCAAAATGATAATATTCGCCTTCTTTATAGAGAACCCCCTCAATCTTTTCAGCGTTTAATAATTGTGCTTCATATTAAGAACAAAGCGATCCGCTATGTTTAGCGCTGGCACATTACCTTAACAGTCTATCAAACGTTAGTATTTTGAATTAATTTGTCAGTGTGTCGTGCGATTTGTTCCTCATAGTGCATGTCCAACGAGTCTTAAATGTTGTTGCTGCTTTTGTCGTCCGTTCTTTTTGCATTTTTTTTTTCTGCACCTTTTTTTTTCTCCAAGAATCTGTCTGTCAGTCTGTCTCTGTCCCACCTAACATGACTTCTTGAATAACGCAGCCTCACTTCCTTTGACCAGCAAAACCCTTCATGCAAAAACTACCAGTGTCACTTCTAGTCGGGTTAGGAGATGAGGGCTATAGGCTTGGCTGATCTAGATGGACTCTCTCCTGTCTTGTCTGCTGTTCTGCTGTTATGGAACTCTGAGCAGTTACTGAAGCCCAGTTACAGTATGGACTTACCAGTACCTAGGGGTACCAGCATGCATCTGCTAGTCAACCTGATTATTATTTTATGATTTTATTGATATGTGTGGTCCATTTTGCAGTAAGTATGCTAATGTGTTTTTTTAATCGCAGCCTTCAAGGTAAGTGTGTTACTGAGATGCAAAAATGTTTCATTGGCACAGACTCAAGGAAAGGCTTCATTCTCTGACAAAACATGCATGGCTGAGTCTGACCATTGCTGCACTGATACAGTGGGATCTAAAAGTCTGAGACCACATTGCAAATCTGAAAATGAAAATTCTGTCATCATTTACTCACTCTCAGGTTCTTCCATACCTGTATCCATTTGTTCTGAACACAACACTATGGTCCCCATAGTATTTTATTTTTCATACTATGGAAGGCAATGGGGTCCAGCAACTGTTTGGCTACCTGCATTCTTCAAAATATATTTTCCTATGTTCAACTGAAGAAAGAACTTCATACAGGTTTTGAACAACTTGAGGGTGAGTAAATAAATGACCAAATTTTCATTTTTTTTTTTTTTTTTTGGTGAACTATCCCTTTAAGGGATACGTTTACATGACAAAGATGTACTAAAAACGGAGAGGTTTTTCCTTTGCTTTTTTTCGTGTACAGTTGACAACGTTGTGGAAATGATTCCTGTTCACACGGATCCACGAAAATAAATAAAAACACTATTATGCATGCCACTTTGTAAAGATTCGCTAATGTGCCTATGTGATGTCATATCATGTACCTTTTTTAAATTAAATTAAAAAAATTCTTATTTTATATATTTATTTATATGTATATGTATGTTTATAATAATAATATAATAATTTAATTTAATAATATAATTATAATAATTTCAGTAATATTATCTGACATAATTTATAGTGAATAAGTTAAAATCGAATTTTCACTAGTGGTCTCAGATATTTGGACTCAAACTGTATGTGCCGGACAATATGTGGCTTATTTGAAGCGCTGACTGTTATTATTGACCACAAAGTTTTGGTTTCTGATTTTATAATCAACTATCAGTTACAGGGTCAAAATCAACAAAAAACTCAGTTTTACCACATGATTACATTTTATATATTAACATAATCACTGTAATTATCATCAATCTATCATTTTTACTCATAATGCAAGTAATTTCTCACCATATTCACTAAAAATAGCACTCTAAATATAGGCAGTAAATACTAAAAGACATTATTTGATTAAAAAAAGAGACCTTTCTGTGTTCTGCTTTTCTTTTATGTTTGTCAGAGTGACGTTTCATAACTCAGCACCCAAGCAATTACTGTGGTACCTGACAGCAGGAGAGATTGGGATTGTTCATGGAGCTGATTCATGGGCCTGTGCCTTTCTATATAACGCATGTCTGTGTCATTGTTTGTTTGTTCTTTGCCTTCTGTTTCCAGGGTCAAGGAATGTTGCCTTATTTTGCTAACTTCCGTCTGCTAGCAGAGTTTTCCACACCGTGTGTAAACCAACGGTGGGTATTTGGCTGATTAAAGTTCAGAATATTTTACATGCAAACTTTTTAGTGTTGCCTACATGCCATTAAAGGCAACAGGAAATCTAAATTAACACTCTTTACCCTTTCAGAAAATGTTCCTGAATAAAGGTCGACTAGCCTAGTTGACTAGTAGTCGTTCACTTAAGTCATTAGTTGATTAGTCGGGAGAAATACTAAACCATAATAATGAGCATTTAAAATATAAATGAAGTGCTCAAGCGCGCGCATGCATTAAGCTTGCTGCCGCGACACCGGCAAACTTTTCTGAGCTCAGAACGTAAACCAAATAAATAGCTTATAATATAATTAATCGCCTGACGGAATTTAAGGAAACAAAATTTAAGTGTGAAATTGAAGGAATTTAATTTAAGGAAAATGTTTCAGTGTGAAATTAACAATGATAATGCATATGCATTTGTTGAGGTTTCTCAAGGGTTGGTTATAATTGTTATATTGGAATTACTTCTTAGTAATGGACGCCCCTTTTTTGTGCCCCTATCCCTGAGAAACACTCTGCACGGCCCTTGTATGCATAGCATTGATTTTAAGAACTTAAATCTACTTTAGGGCTCCAGACTGGACCGGCAGGACTTTTTTTTTCTTGGTTTGTAAAACCTTTTGAGAGTGAAATTCAAGCCTTGGAAGTGCTTCACGCTTTTCCAACACTCTAAATATTTTCCAGTTTTACATTTTTTTTGTTTGTTAATGTAATGACCAAAAATATTATTTGTTCATCTATCAAAGATGGTCTCCATTTTCAAAACTAAAAGTTTCAAGATATTGGAACACCAAAACTTGGCAACAAATGCTTTTTATTTAAAAATAAAGACATGAAATTACCTCTATAACTTGTAGATGGTGGCAGAGGAGCACTTATTGGCTTAAAGGGATAATTCACCCAAAAATGAAAATTCGGTCAGTATTTACTCACCCTCATGTTGTTCCAACCCTGTAAGACCTTCGTTCATCTTCGGAACACAAGTTAAGATATTTTTGATGAAATCTGAGAGCTGGATCACTCCTCCATACTAGTCCATAGGCTTCCTGAGGGATTGAAACTTGCCGGCCTCGAAAAGTTATTAAAGACATCGTTAAAATAGTCCAAGTGACAACAGTGGCTCAATCTTAAGTTCATCAAACGACAAGAACACTTTTTGTGCGCAAAAAACAACAAAAATAACTACTTTATTTCAACTATTCATTTACTTCTCTCTCTGCCTCGAGTCAGGAGGTTACTAGTTTAACAGTTTAAGCTTCTGTTATTGTACGTCACACGCATCGTGCACATGACCACACGGCCAATGGGCTATATGCACGCATAAGTTCCGCATTTGACGTAAGGATGCTCGTCCGTTTCCGGTTGTGTAGATTAAAGCGGAGGAAAACCGGAGAAAACGGGATTATGGCAGAGTCTTCAATATTTACTGTCCTCCCGTCTTTGAAACGAAACGTACATACGTTTAGATGTAATTTTATATATAGTTATGTTTATTTAATATAATTTTAAAAAGAAGCATAAACACAACGAGGGGTGTCTGTTTTATCTGTTTTTGTGACTAACGTTTCATTAGTATAACCATGGAGTATAAAATTCAATATAAATTCTCGGTATTGCATTGGACTCTATGATCGGCGGAAGTTATCGAGCATCCTTAATCCTTCACCGGAAATAACGCCGTGCATAGAGCCCATAGTGAGCCTACGTGTGACTTAGCTCTACGCTATCACACTACGTTAACTGACTAGAGGCCCACAGAGAAGGAAATGAATAGTTGAAATAAAGTGGTTATTTTTGTTTGTTTTTGTGCACAAGAAGTATTCTCGTCGCTTGAGGAAGTTCAGTTTGAGCCACTGTAGGGGAAAAACTTTAAATGTATCAAATGCCATTTCATGCTGTCAGTAATAAGAAATGACAGAAATGTTGTGACTTTACCACATGTCACTCTGCTCACCTGTGTTTTCCAGCTGGTTCTTTGAAGTGTTAGGTTACCCCAAAGTGTCCAAGCCCAACATGGCTAACGGGGTCCTGATGGCGGCCGTGTTTTTCCTGGTGCGGATCGCCGTCATGCCGGTATACTACGGCCGGATGTTCTCCGTGTACGGCACGGAGGCCTTCTACAGGGTCACCTTCGGTGGCCGTAGCGCCTGGATCTTCTCCAGCATCTGTCTGGACATCATGAACGTCATGTGGATGCATAAGATCGCCCGAGGCTGCTACAAAGTCCTGCAATCCAGCAGGAGGCTCAAACCTGAGATCCAGGAGAACGGAAAAAACGATTGAGCAAACGGGCCTGAAGGGCATTCGAATTTTGTTGACGAACAGGGTCGTTGTCGCGGTCTTCAAGCGAGTGGACACTATTGCATGATAGTGACCAGTCGAGAATGAAAACCACCCCAGAGCAATATTTCTCAGAGTTATGACCTGAAAACTCGGACAAAGTGTCAAATAAAGATTCTAGTACACCAGAAAAGACTGGCCGGCCACTTCTAGTTTGTGTTTGTATTTAAGACCGTACAGCAGATACAAGACCACCGGCTGAACTGTATTTTACTGTACAATTCTAATTTCAAACTGGGGGCAGGTAAACCACATTATTTATTCATCAAAGTTCAGTCCGTCTCCCTCGATCACTGTATTTTGCGGAGGGGCCAAGCGGTCACCTGATGTTCACGTTTACTTCAAAGCCGCGTATATTGACTGTGAACGTTTCAGCCACACAACTACACTGCACTAAACCAGGAAAAGCAGCGACCGGGATCAGTGTACTCGAGACGAATCTCCACCGCCATGCTGTACTTTGATTATTTTATCTGAGGAAATGATGGACTGTCGATGTGGGTTTCAATGGCCAAAATGTTTTCTATGTATACCAGATACGAGCAGTGAACTCTTCTCATTGCGAAACTGTTTTAAGAATGAAATCGGTTTACACTCGCTCCAGATTCCGTTCGGATTCCGTTGTGTTTCCACGAAACAGACGTCAAGATTTGTTCGCACTGTACAGTTAATTGCATGCGGCAATGTTGTTCTCTGAATGTTTGCGTTGTACATAGAAATTTTATTGAACATACAATAATAATTTTGAATTTCGTTTGTGTACAGTATATTCGATTAATATTGATCGTAAATGATCGATTTTGATTTAAAAATGGGTTCTAAAAGGAAATTCAGAAGAGCTTTGGGTTGCGTAGCTCGTGAATGTTCGGGTTCTCGACGCCGGTGTCGATTAGTTTTCCTGCATCGTACCTAATTTATTGATCCAGTTGTACACTGGGAAGGCATGGAAATGTTTGTATGACATATTTATTATTTTTTAACAGAAAGATATAAAAATCTATGTATCTGAGTAGATATACAGCATATGAGAGATTCACAATACAGAGATACCTATATGAATTAATTTTCATATTCATAGTCACTATGTAAGACAGATATAGTGTAGATTAATCATACTGTAAACACATGCATTCAGTGGCGGCACAGATGTGAGTGCATGAGTAGTTTTATTGATTTTTGAAAGATGGCTTACATTGATTTGCGTGGAAACATGTTTTCATTGAATTTGGTACTTGAATATTGAAATGCATTGTTCTGAGAGACAGACCTACGAAGAATGGTCTTTTATTGGCACGAGTTATACAGGAATCCATGTTGTGATTTTTGCCTTTGCATTCAATCACTTAAAATGCCTTTTTGTTTTCTTCAATAAACATCTTTTCTTTACTACTTCTAGTGTCATTTTATACCACATGGTTCAGTGTATAGTCATGTAAAGGATGAATGATTGTCACTTTGATTGTTTTTTCTTTTTAGTTTGACAAATGTTGCAACCAAAGGTCAGAAGTATGAATGGCTTTTTGAAGTCTGTTCTTAATTTTGCATATTAAGTAGCTAGCCTAAGGAAGTGGTCACACACAAAGAGTTTCGGTACGTTTTCGGTCTACAGACATGCATTTTAACACTTCAAGTATAACATGAAGCAAGCAAAGGAAAACAAGGGAAGGCCGTTTATTCATTGTAATGACCTGTTGCTGGTCATTGACAGGATTGGCCTATGATGTCATTCAAGAGTTTGTTCGTTGTTTTACCAAGACTATATTGAATTGTACTTTTTCAGTTGTGATGATTTTTTGGGAAATGCTCTCAACGCTCACTATTCAGCATTTATTTTTAGTTTATGAAATGTGTTGAGATGCATCATGACTGTATGTGTTTTTATTACTGATACGTTCCATACTGTCACAGGAAATGGTTGCCATGTAAATGTTTACATATGTTTTTAAAGTGGCCACAGGGATCATGGTCCCACATACTGAAGGAAAGTGCATGTACATGAGAAACGACATGTTTATTCTTTCACCTTAATTTGTGAAATTATGCCATTTGCCTCAATAAAGCAATATGCTCATTTTGATCCGTAATCATTTTGTATGTCCATTCTTCTTCAGTTCGGTTTGTAGTAATATGCAGTTTCCTATATTTTAAACAATACTACGTACATCAATAAAACAATATGTGAAATATTTAAAAGCATAACTCTGAGATTTTAAAATCTCCATTTTGTGTGCTTTCTAGTGCACTAAAATGATGATTTTGTTTAAAAAGGAAAACTCTTTAAAATATAGGCAAATATAGACAAAATATTTGTCTATATATATTTGTCTATATATATATATATATATATATATATATATATATATATATATATAGTTTTCTTATTTCTTATTTAAAAAATGTATCATGGACATTGACTAATTAATATTCATGAGCTAAGCCTTCGTCCCGCCCGCGCGCATTGCATGCTGGGTGAAACGGAAGTAGTGGTGCACGTTGACATTGCAGAGCGTCCGATCCTCTCATAAGAGACACAGAAAGGTGAGTTATGCTCTCAAATCGAGATTGTAATGTTTAAAAAGCTGGTTGTTATAATAGAGTTTGTAGTGGAATATGTGATTTTGTATTCAGTAACATTGTTTTACATGACTGTATGGATGATGTTATATAACTTATTTTGTAACTACTACATTTTAGCATTTTGTCTCTTAAAGATCACTTTTAAGAATAGTGAAAGGTAACGTTAACTTATAATAGTTCACCCGAAACAACATAATATTTACGATGTTATTTTACAAACTATGAAATTAAGTGGTGACCAGCTCCTAATTGGCCATAAAAAGCACTATAATGGTTTATACCATTTGTACCATATAATATTCCAAGTCTTCTGAAATGATAGCATGGCATGAGAGATAGATATTTTGCCTATATTCAAATATGACACTTCAAACTATCACGTGAGGTTTGACATACATAATTCCAAATGTCACTTATTTTCATAACTAAAAACAACAAGCTAAATTTGATGAACATATTGAAACCCCACAAATTTGACTTTTTTATGAAAACTGTATGACCATTTTTTTTTGTCAGAAGTATGGATAAACTATTAATTTAATTTGTGTGTGACTGTGAACTATTCCATTAAAGGTATAGTTCACCTAAAAATAAAGTAAATTATGTCATCATTTACTCACCCTCAATTGGTTCCAAACCTGTATGAACTTCTTTCGTCAGTTGAACACAAAAGAAGATATTTTGAAGAATGTGGGTAACCAAACAGTAGATGGACCCCATTGACTTCCATAGTGTTAAAGAAAAATAATATGAAAGTCAATGTGAACTGTCCCTTTAACATTATTCAGCAATTTATTTAAATATTTAAATTTATGTGCTGTGATATATATTTTGAACAGCTTAACACAAGTAATGATGTAACAGGGTGTCCTTAATCTCTTCAGCACTGGTGTTTGTCATGGGTGCATCCGTATCCAGTCTTGCCCCCAATATCCGGGCAGAGTCTGCAATGTCAGCGGCTCATTTTGGTGGGGCGACCCCACCCCCTGGGTGTCCCATGCATCAAGAGATCCCTAAAAGTGAGTCAAACTCCATCCATCTGTAATCATGAGCTATATATCAGAGGACTGTATGTACTAATTTGCAATATAAACCCAGGCTCTCCTCCTCCTGAGTGCCCGATGCATCAGGCTCAGACGACTCCGGCCAGCCCAGCACACCAGGAAAGAGCGTACGAGTTTGTTGAATGTCCCATGAGAGCTTCTGAAGGAGCCGTCGATCCCACAAATATGGTGAGCTGGGCACTTCCCTGAATAAGATTGATTTTTGTTTTTGGCTTATGCGTGTTAATGTTGCTTTTCTGTGTACCACAGATGCCCCCTCCAAACCAGTTGCCCGCCCCGGACCAGCCATTCCCTTTGTCCATCAAAAGAGAGGAGTCTAAAATCCCTCGATCAGGCGCAGACCAGAACTGGGTCTATCCTTCTGAACAGATGTTCTGGAATGCCATGCTGCGGAAGGGGTGGGTTTCGGCGTGCTGTACTATGTACAGAAGTATACGCTTGTATAAAGATTCCTAAATCCATGTTTTAGTACTAGATACACTGTGTTTATGATTTGAAGAGCTGATATGTCATTTAGCTTAGTTTCAGGAAGTCTGTGAGTGCTGTAACATGATTACCCATATAGAAAACATAGAACATTATTCTCCAATGTCAAGAAAGAGACAACAATAATGGTTTGGCATGAGCTAGGGCATACGCACTACCATTCAAATGTTTGGGTTCAGTAACATTTATTTTAATGTTTTAATGTTTGAAGTCTCTTATGGTTATATAAGATTATAACACAATGCTGCATTTTTTTTAAGAAATACACCGTAAAAACTGTAATAATGTGAAATATTATTACAATTTAAAATAACTTTTCTATTTTATTATGTTTTAAAATATTCATTTAATTAATTTAAAATAAGTAATTTTGTGTGATTGCAAAGCTGCTTTTAGTCCAGTATTCAGTGTCATCACATAATCCTTCAGAAATCATTTTTATAAGTATCAATTTTGATTAATTGAATACATCCTTGCTGAATAAAAGTATATATATATATATATAAACATACTTTTTTTATTTACTAAAAAGTTTTTAAATAATATATTTATGTATATACTGTATGTATTAGGGGTGGAGCCGAACCCTAATACCGTGTTCGGAAAGGCACAAATAATGTGTTTTGTATGTGTGTGTGTAAAATATGTATATTTATATATTTTTTGTTGTCATGAATTCCTGTTAATTGCTATTTGTTGTTTTGCTAGGTGGCGCTGGAAGGATGACAGTCTTGAACCCAAAGACATGTCTAATATAATCCAGATCCACAATCGTAACAATGATCAAGCCTGGCAGGAGATCCTGAAGTGGGAAGCCCTTCATGCCAGGTGACTGCAACACAACTCTCATTTTCACATGATCAGTGACTGAAATCACTTTACCGTCTGATTCAGAGAGCAATGCTGTATGACTGTATTTTTTTTTAATTAAAATAAGTTAATACATTTATTCAGCAAGGATGCATTCAACTGATCAATAGTGACCGTAAAGACATTTATAATTTTACAAAACTTTTCTAAATGAATGTTGTTCTTTTGAACTTTATATTTATCAAAGAATCTTGAAAAAAATAAAAAAAAATAACACAGGAATAAATTATATATCAAAATATTAAAATAGAAACGCATAGAAGCTTGCTTGCGGCATGGAATAGAAAATAAAAAAAGGTAATTACGACTTTTTAAATTACACAATTCAAACTTTATATCTCACAATTCTGAGAAAAAATATTTGCGAGAGTCTAGATAAATTCTCTATTTATAGGGACATCATTCTCACAATTTTAACTTTTTTCCCTCGCAAATCAAAGTTTACATCTCACAATTCTGAGAAAATAAGTCATAAGCCAGATATGAACTCAAAATGACAAAAGGTAATTGACTTTTTATCTCACAATTCGGACATAATTGTGAGATATAAACTGAATTGTGAGGAAAAAAGAGTCAGAATTGTGAGGTAAAAAGCTTCAATTAAATGCTTTATTCCATGGCGGAAATTAGTTTCAATACAAAAGTAATTTTATTCGCAACAATATTAGTGTTTTTGCAGTAGTTTGATCAAATAAATGCAGCCTTGGTGAGTATAACAGACTTTGTGCTGTACTTCAATGTGTTCCAATGCTGTCTTTATATTGTTAACACGAATAAAAGCTGCATCATCACCTCTGCAGCCCTGTTGCTGCCAGATAAACGAGGTGATAATTGTGTTAGTCGCCTTCTGTTTGTCATTTGATGGTCACTGGCAAGCGTGATCTGCTTTGTTTTTACAAATTGCCAAGTATGCAAGAATGATCATAGCGCCCTAGACTAAACACATGTTTGTTTCTGGCAGCGAGTGTCCATGCGGTCCATCTCTGAAGAGATTCGGGGGCAAAGCCAAAGAGTTTTCTCCCAGAGCCAGAATACGTCACTGGATGGGGTGAGATATAAAAGTGAATCCCAGAGGATCCTTCTCATGTTGTGTTTAAAACACTCCAGAGTGCTTGATTTCTCTCCGCTATCTTTCCCTGTAGATATGAATTGCCGTTCGACCGACACGATTGGATCGTAGATCGGTGCGGAAAGGAAGTCCGCTATGTCATTGACTACTACGACGGGGACCTCGATAAAGACACCTTCCAGTTCTCCATCCTGGACGTGCGTCCGGCCATCGATTCAATGGGGGCCGTCTGGGATCGGATGAAGGTGGCCTGGTGGCGCTGGACGTCGTAGAAACACAGTTTTATCATTTCTGCACCACTATAAGACTTTGGTACCAAAATACTAGAAACTGTGTTCTACGTTCTCTGAGATTGGTTGTTGCTCAACTTCTTCGAGTTCTGACTTTAACATGAATCCTCGCAAGTAACTGCACAGCGAGAAACATACAGGTTGGAGAGCGAAATAAATCAGTGTTTTTTTTTTCTGCTCATAAAGTTTCTGAATTCATTGCTGACAATCATCTCTTTTTTACTCTTTGAGTGATGGTTATTCAATTGAAAGCTAGCTATCTGAACTTACCCAGAGGTTAAACATATCTGCTGGTTGTTTTTCTCTTTCAAAGGCTAGTTGTTGAGTGTATTAGTTCATATGCAGAGCGATTGGCAGCTGTGAGCGTTTGTAGCTTCGCGAAACGGTTTGCTCATGAATTGATCTGATGAATCATATACAATTGTGTTTCAACTCTTCCATATTCATCCTGTGGTCAGGTTCAATTTTAAAATGATGTTATTTATTTTGTGCAAACTGCTTTTTTGTCTGTGTGTATGCTAATGTATTGCTGACTGTGCTCTTCGAGTGAGTGTTCCTGACAAAAGAAAATCTCTAAATGCAATTTGTAACCCATTTTTGTTGTTTTAAATCTGACCTTTACCAAATTAAAACTCCAAGTAAACACGCCTGTCTGCTTCTCACTTCTGACACATTCTAGATCACACCAGCAGGTGGTGCACTTTTCTATATGCAAATTGTAATTTCTTTCATTATTGTTCATCGGTGATGATGATTAATGCTGACCATTTCCAAAGTCACTTATCATTTAAAAGAGTTAAGGATGATATTGAACTAACCATTTAACTTTTTTAAGCTTCTTTTGAAATAGTCATGAACCATTGGTTTGTTTGTGGAGATAACTGAAATTTAGGTAGATCAGCTAAGCACTTGCAGACTAAATGTTGCCTTCACGTATCAGAAATGTCCTTCTTCTCAAATCGTGATTACATCTCATTCTAGTGCTTTGTTGTCGGAAAGAACAGGAACCATGGAGGACGGTTTATTCAATACGCCATTTTATTCCATTACTTATATCAAGTATCACATTCCATATTTGCATGGTACGAATTACATTTTACGTCTATTTTTAAATAATACTGTAGCTGAACTACTGACATTTACCCTGGTTTAACGGATAAGGCTTAACACTTTAAAGCAGCACGTATCATATTTGATACACGAGTTTCTAAGAAATAGTATTCTTTGAAAACCTGTTGTATCTATTTTGATACGTGTATTCTGCCATCTTGTGGAATTTTACTGTACTGCAGGCAGTAGAGGGGTGATTTTTTTTTAGCTTTTCAAGGAGCTGGGTGCATTATGGGTAATTGTTTATTGAGTGTTGATTTATGTGTTATTTCAGTTAGATCTTTAAGTTTTTGTGATAGTAAAGTTATGTGTGAACGTTCAAGTTAGTTCAGATGTTCTTGGTTCATTTACTGCTTAATGTAAAAATGTGTCTCTCACCGTCATAGAGGGAGATGTGTAAGGCAATAGGGTCTTGCCTATAAGTAATTGCGTAAATCCGTAAACGGGATACGTTTTGGTTACTGAAACCTGTTGCAATGGTTAACCTATTTTCCACCTGCGGACACACTCTGGGTCGCGCGGTGTATGGGACGAGAGTGTTCTGAGTTCAGGTTTGGAATTTTCCATTAAATGATTTTTTACCCCCAAATAGCGGTGAAAAGATATATGACCATCCATTGAAAATTAGTTTCTGTTCCTATCAATTCCGATATCGAATTCCTAGTCCAAGATTAACGTGGCTTCCAGTTCGACCTCGTCCGTGTTAACTCAAACATAAACGCGAAAGGCGAAGCTTGAACTAACAGGTAGGTATGTCCCTCTTTGGCTAATGTACTTTCAAGATGGAGAGGCAACATGGCGACCGACATTAGAACCCCTTACCCGTAGGCCTATGTATTTTCAACGACATATTATACACTCACGAGAATACTTTAGTACTTGAACGAAGTAAATATACATTAATGAGGACATATGTTTTTGAAAGAACTAAGTGTTTTTAGCTAAGAATAAACTAAAAGAGTTACACAGTGTAGGTTTAACAGTAGCCTATATAGGTGATGAAGTCAATCATGTGAGAGCTTTTTGAAGCCCCAGAGTGGAGAAACAGAGGCTCCTCATATCTGTGAGTAGGTGTGGGAAAGAAATCTCCACTCGCGGCCCAGAATAACCTCATCCTCTGGGGTAAGTTTACACCTCTCCCTCCTTAACAGACGAGAATCTGATTTTGCCTAGTTTTGAGAGCAGTTTTAATTCTGACTGATCTCTCAGCAGTCCAGTGTTTTTAGACTATGATTACATTATATTTTGGGGTCCATTGAGTTCATTTTGCCACCCTAGTCTTTTGAATAATGTATGTGTGGCGACAGAGATACTGTATGTTTGTATTTATGGGGTTTTTTTTGTCAGGGCTTCTGTTTGGCAGGGAACCAGACAAGCCCCTTGTAGTGCGCTGAACAGATATACAAACAGCCCGCGGCAGTCGAGTCTGGCGGGGGATTCAAACCCCCTGCAATCCTTCCAGTCTGTTTCATTTACATACCAAAAGATGCCAAGCTGTGCCAAGTACCACGCCTTGTCAAGATTGCAGAACTGTAACATTAACTATGGGAAGGAGTAGGCTAACAGTTAGAAAGTTTCTAGCTAGCGGGTCAGTGGTGGTCCTGACCGGACATGGATGTGTTTGCTACTGTATCGATTACAAATGCTGATGATGTTGGAAAAGCTGTTTGCCGATTCAGTCCCACTTACTGTATTTTAAAGGCTCAGTTATGACAAGCTTGTCTAAAAGTGACCAGTTAGAAGATAAATCGGCATGAATTCCTTTGGATTAGTTTTACGATCTCTTTATCAACTTTTCTAATGGTCAACCTGGTAGTTGCGTAGCTGTCAATGGAGGGATAGAAAGCTCTCAGAGTTCATCAAAAAGATCTTTGAAGATAAACAAAAGTCTTATGTGTTTGGAACGACATGATGGTGGTTAATGACCAAATACAATTTTTTAGGTGTACTATTCCTTTAAGGCTTGTTTGTGAAAACCAGGAATATTTGTAAGCTATTGAATCTTTAGGCCGCACTTAAATATATAAATGTCATTGAATTATATAAATCCATGTGGCATTTCTCGGAAGCAAGTACACTTTCATAATGCAGACATTCATCCATTTTTAAGTGGCATAAGTGTCGAAATTGGTTTTAGGGTCACTGCATATTTATACAAAATATGTATCTGCCCTATCTGGAGCAGTGAGAAAAGCTGTGCATGTAATGTTGTCTTCTCCCCGGTTTAAGTGAAATTGCTTGTTTATCAGCAACTGTTTTAAATGCAAATCCCATGCATGATTTGCATCTGGACCACTTCTCCCACACATTTTACGGTAAACACACAACAGTATAAAAACACACACACACTGGAATAGGTAATTGTGCTCTTCTACATGATAATAATAAAGAAAAGAGCATTATGCTAAAACTAAATGAATGCATGCAGAGTGTTTAAGGGCTGTCAGTCTGGGGCCTACAACAGGAAGACAAGAGTCCCACAGGAAGCTTTACTGCACTTATGCGTTTTATTTGGAAAATGTAGTAACCATGGAGACCATTTTATGACACCCCCACTACCATTTTGTACAATCAGTGTGAGTTTATGCTGCACACATCATTCAATTTGTTTTGCAGTTGTGTTATACATCCGTTTTTTTTTTTTTTTTTAAATTACAGTTCTCGGTAAAGGTTTCAGTAGTCAAAATATTGAATGAAATTAAATAAGCAACGTTTATTTCAAGAATTTCAGGAAAATTAATTGTACATGGTCAAGTTGGCAGCCATAATACCTTTCAAAAGTAATTATATACCTTGTCAAAACAACAATAAATCCTAAATAGTTTCTCTGCTGCATATTTATACAAAATATGTATCTGCCCTATCATTTATACAATATAAAACAAGTAATAATACAATATAATAATACAATAAAAGTAAATAATACAATATAAATCATTTATACAATATAAAACTGCTGATTTATACAATATCAAACAAGGTATAATTTATTAAATTCTAATTTATTCAGAGCTTATTTAAATGGCTCCAAAGCAGATTAAAATGAAACGGATCAACGGCTAAAAATCCTAACCTTAATAAATTGGCGTTAATAGTTTTATTTGGGATATCGCAAATCAATGAAACATGCCAAATTGTGCGGACATAATTTTTTTTGGGCCAGGATGTCATACAAAGAAATGATATAAAGGCAAAAAACAAGAGAACCAACAAAATATTAAAAACAAAGACTCCTCTGGACACACACACACACAAATATATATATATATATATATATATATATATATATATATATATATATATATATATATTTATATATATGCACATTTGCTGTTTTCAGATGCCTTTTTTATCTTTATGTGGGGAAAAATCCACTGTTTATGACTTTTTATTCTATATTTTTTGATGTTCAGTCTTATTGGTTGATGTCAATATTTTTTACAATAAGGAGGTGCAGATTTTCATTGGTTCAAAGGCTATACACTCCAAAAGTCATCACCAAATCAGTTGATGGCTCTCTGATTCCCACCGCCTCCCAAATCAAAAGTCTTGGCGTCATTCTAGACAGTGGACTTTCCTTTGGCCCCCACATCAGTAATATCACTCGGACTGCTTACTTTGACCTCCGCCCTGTTCTCTCCCAACACAATTCACAGGTCCTTTCAGAACTCGTATTATCACCAGCTCCAGTTCAACTGACCACATCACACCACTCCTTACACTGGCTTCCTGTTCCTTATTGGATCAACTACAAAATTCTTCTGCTTATCTTCAAACCCCTCCATGACCTTGCCCCCTCATACCTCATTTTTTGGGGATCTTTGTGAATTGACCTGTTATTTCATCTGATTACATCTTGTATTTGAAGTGTGTAGCAAAACATTGCTTATGGTGCTAATAGAGGTGATTGTGAAGGCTTTTAACTCTGTGAATCTGCTTGGCCCAAAATTGGGCAATTTCCTCTAGCCAAATACGTGCGGTTCCATGCAACAAGGAAAAGCAAAGCCTCAGAATTTGAAAAGAGAAATTCATCTTTGACATGAGAAAGTTTGGGAGGTCTTTAAGGCGTTTACAACATCAAGTCAGTCCGAGCAGCCCTTAGGCTCCAGAAATCCAAAGACGTCAACATTCAACATCCAGTCTGACTTCCTCACCTCAGATAATGTATGCACACAGCACACCGCCAGAGGGCTTTTGAATACATTAGGCGCCACGACTGGACCTCACACTGTTAGTTTGTGTGTGCACCACAGGTCATGTTCTGAAAGGACCTGAGTAGTTTGTGGCCAAAGGATTGGCATGGATCCATCTCAGACGACCCTCGGGAGATTTGATACGCAGCCCACTGGAAAAAGAGAAGGAGAGAGAGAGCCTTCCACAAGGCCTAATCAAAGCGGTTTCAATTTGTGCCGTGGGCTTATCGCAGCACTGGAAGTGATGAGTTCTTGACTTTTATAGTGCAGTCAACCAGCACGCTGAGATAGGCAGGCCTTCCCCATTGTTTTTTAATGAGCTCTGATGGAAACGGGTAGAAAAC